TTATCATAAATAAGAGAAAAACACTATCATTTTAATTTAATAAAATATCATATAAACACTTATTATTTATTAAACCTTTCATCTTTAATGATATATTAATGACAACCAACAAGTTTGGAAACATTAATTTTGCCCATCTATAATCATGGTCGTCCCAAGCCAGCAATTGATTTTATATTTATCATTATTTATTATTTTAAATTGATAAATCATTATACTAATACCTATTTGTTATCGATAATTATACAAATGTACATCAATCGATGAACAATCTTATAATATATGTAATGTATGAAATGCTTTATTACCAGCTAAATATGTATAAAAAGCATGCAAAAATGTGAGATTGAAAACATATTTCACTTTCCTTTTTCTTTCTTTTATAATGATAATAACAATAATAAAGAATAAAACATAATTTCAGAACAATTGATGTGTCCTATAGTTTCTATATTCGTTGAGGTTTCTTATTGCATATGAAGTGATCGTTTATTTCCAGTTTGAAAATATCAATGGTCCAATAATCTCTAAAATTATTTATACATTATTTATTTTTTCAAAAGCTTTTTGATTCTGGTCTTAATCTATAGTGATCGAAAAGTTACTCATTTGTCCAATTACCTAAACCTTCATTATCTTTTGTTGCTTCTCGGCAGTAAGAATAGTTACAGTGATTCGGTATTTAGTATGGAAGTAAAAATACTACTTCGTTTACATTTTGCTACCCTTATGACAAATAATTTTACATTTAGCACTACATTCTCCAGGAAACAAGCATCTATAAATATAACATGCTCCTCTAAAGCCATTTCAGCGTTTAAAAACTTATGTTTGCTTTTTCTAAAAAAGTAAAAAAATCATTTGTTTCTGATACATAATGTGTCAGCCACGACAATTATTTATGTCATTGTTATGTATTGCTAACATTTCCACATGCATGGACAATTTAGAAATAACATAGGCAAGTTAACCAGATCTACCTTGACCGGTATTTATTTCAAAGATACTTCTTGTTTTTCATTGATCTCATTTCGAGGTTTTATGATTTTATTGCATTTCAGCTGCATGCTTCGTACTTACAACATGCAAAATTAGGGAATCATCGTCATGAATGGTTTACAAAGATTTAAACAGATTGCATTTCTTCAAAAGTATATATTGCATATCTATATTTTCCGACATAATACAGTCATAGTTAAGCTTGTTGTGTCCTCTAAAATATACAGATATACATTTAAAAGGAGCAAGGTTTTTATTTATTATTCATTTATTTATTTACTTATCTATTACTTTATTTGCAAATGAAATCATCGTAATATTTCCTAACCGTAACACACTTTTCAAATAATTAAAAAAATACGCCAAGTTTTGTAATTTAAATGTTAAACGAATCATTATTTTATAATATATCATATTTTTTGTTAAGCAGCTGTATAAGTTCTTAAATACACAACTGAAGATACAATCATTTAATAGCGAATGTGCAGAACAAAAATATATAAATTTGTGTTATTATCTTAATAGGATCGTCACCAGAGTGATACGAGCGGTGCAAATTTAAATTTGAAAAAGAAAAACTTGCACATACTATCTCGTTACATACAATAAATGCAATGTAAAGAGGATTTTCTATTGAGTTTAATAAACTGTTTATCCCCTTATTCAATCGGTAAATCAGATAACTTTTTTTTATCGAGTATTATATACAAATGTTATTCATTTTAAAATATGTCAATCTTCCTGGTGCGCAGTTGTACACAATTTTTTTCAAAATTGTTTAAAAATCTGATTATATTAGACATTATTTTAAATACATGTATATTATAATTTGTATCGGGCAACCTATACTCTGTTTAATGAGAAACTTTTTTTGAATTTTATGAAAGAGGCGCTATTAATAAATAATATCAATATATGTTTAACCTAGTGTTTCTTATGTAAGACACTACAAGCGTTATTTTCAATGGACGAAATTTATACCATACCTAAGTATGCTATTAATTGTACCATGGAGCAATATCATTGGTCAGTTGCATAAATTTAAATCTTTATTATTTTTAGGTACGTAAGGAAAAAAAAATACAATAAAACGTTTTGTTTATTGAGATCATCTTGTGATAATAAACATCAAACCGGTCTCAACTTAATTCTTATTAAATGCATTGCATGCGACTTTAAGCCTACTTGACTAACGCAATGTAGACATGTTACGTAATCATGGCATAATTTACACAAACCGGAATATTGTTTAAACAGCAATTTTACTTTAGAATTGAAATATCAATATTTGTATCAAAAAGTTAGTTCCTGGACTGTCATGGTACATATATTTTATGAAATTCGCCGTCCCAAGTTGTAACATCTTTATGAACTTAATCTGATTATTTTGACTATCGTACTTTTATAATTTCTTTTTTTGTATAACGACATACCATTATAACAGTAAATTTTAACCTTGATCATATGAGTGAAGTAAACTTTAATTTTAAGGTTTATAAAAGCTATAACCTTGTAAAGATCAAATATATGAGTTGTTTTTTTGTTTTTTTATTTATTTATAAACAATTACAAATACCTAACATGCACCATAATAAGTAATGTACTAAAACTGTCTTGATAGTTTTTTGTTTAGCTTTGTTTGTAATTCTCATTTTGCGATTTATTTCACAATTTTATCATCCTATGAAGATTATGATGTATGTAAATGACTTATGACGCGTGATCACCTGTTGCACCTACGTTGTCAGAATTTGATATCCCGCGAAGATTTTAATCCGAAAATATCAACTTTATGCAAGATTTCTCAAAAGATACAATAATATTTGCAAGCAATGATGTAACAAAAAATGAGACATGAAACATGCCCCAAATAATAACTTTTAAACGTACCAAGTACATATATCTGTTTTTAAACAGATAAGAATAACTTTTAAACTTACCAAGTACATAAATCCGTTTTTAAACAGTTCAAGATTTATGTTACACCTGATTCATAATCCGACAATGAAAATGTTTTATGTTCGTGAAAATTGATCAGTACCAATCTAGCAAGGATTTGGTTTCACAGAGTATCATCTTCATCATCTAGATGTACATTGTATATATATATTATCTGGTTTTTTTTTAAAAAAAAAAAACTTAGTAAGTGAAAAAGCTTTTATTACGATGAATGATTTAAAATATTAAATGGACTAAAACAGTTGGAAATTACGGTAAGAAGATTAATATCATTTAAGCATTTACTTTTATATAAAACGAATTGTTAAACTCACGAAAAGGGGATAACCCTCGGGGGCAACGAAAACAAAGAAAACGGAGAAAATTGCAAACTCGGTTGACTGAGTCCGTTCATGTATGGAATATACACCACGTCCCCATGTACCTTGGGAAAAAATAAAGAGATATGTTCTGTTCTGTTCTTTCCCTTTATTGTACATCAACATGTTTACAAGTTTATTTGGTAAAATCGGCATTTGATATGCTATTGATGATCTACAATTATTATAAATAAGATGACCAAGACAATATAAATATGTATATACGTAATCCAATATGAATAAAATATGATTTAAATCAATTTACAACAGAAAACACAAACCAAAAAAGAAACGACAACAACATCAACAAAATTTTTTTTAAAAACAACAACAACAATATATACATCAATATCATAAGCAACAATAAGACATGAATTGGTTAATATATAATAATGTATATTTTAAATTGTTTAAAATGACACAAGTTACAAAACTTAAACTACGACTCTTATATCATAATATTTTATATGAAGTAAATCGTTTAATGTTAGATATTAACAAAAGTTTCAGCAACTGAAAGGAATGCATCATAGCATGACATAGGTTTTAAGATGATAATGTTTTGTAACATATTTTGAAAAAGCTAATCTGATCTTTTTGCTAACGAGGTAAAACAATATTCACTATACAAATTATATTATGTGACACCAAAGAGCGTTTAATTTTCTTGACAGTGCTGGAGATTAAACAATTGTACCAAAAAACAAAACAAAAATGCTGTCACTTTCATCAAATCACATTTATAAAAGTTAAACAGCTTGTTAAACTCGAAAAAAAAATGTTGTTGAAAATAATCATTAGCTCATTTGTATATATGGATAGTCTTTCAAGAACATATTTTAATATTTGTCATAAGAGTAGCAAAATGTAAACAAATACGGTAGTATATAATAAATGTATTTTGACAGAAACATATTTTCGTTTTTAAGAAGTTTCTCAATTTACCATCATATCTTATAGAGCAAAAATAGTAGGTGTTCACTTAAAAAGTCATGACACCAACTCAACCCATTTATCTTATCTCACGTTAATGAAGAAAAGATAATACTATTCCCATACTACCTTAGTATTTTTAAATGCATTTATGAAATAGTAATAAACCGGAACCATCCGGTTACAGGATATATTGATTGTAAGTAAATGAATTAAGCAAGCATACAGATTATAAATTTAAACATTATATCAAACAAATATATATCTGTCACAGCACCCTCACTGGAACCCATTTGACTTTAACCACGTTCAGAGTATGATTCTCACGTGCTTCAATTATTGAGAAAAATATAATTTATTTATTGGTATCATAAATGTTAACAAGCATAACCCGACTTTAAGATATCCTATGTTACTTGCCCATGAATGTTTTGTAATATGATAGTCAAGTTAAACAATTGCAGATATTTGAAAAGAAATCTTTTGAATAGCTTGATGCATATGTAATATAATACTACATTTATCTATTAAATATCATATCAAATTAGCCCTACAGTTTGAAAGACAGTGTAGTCATTGGTATAGTGTGTTTTTCTTTTTTAATGATTATTTATTACGTGTTTAATTTCAATTTATCTCTGCCATGAACAGGCTAACGCAAGACTAATTACCGTTTTGGGTTTTCTTGCTTGTTTTTTTCCTATTCCAATGCATTGTAATTATAGTGTGTCACGTGATATGTTTTAAACGAAAATGATTAAAATATACGCTACCAATCGTCAGTTTGGATGTAAAAGAATAGCATGTTTAAGAACGAATGAGGTAAGTGTCCATATATTTAACTGAATGTATTACATAAATGATAATTATATTTGCAATAACTCAGTTAAATCAAGACAAGTAATAGTTGAACGAAACATTTTCGCGCCAAAAATAATAATCTTGCCATAATATTACTTACATTTGTAAAAAAGGAACACAATCACTGTACAAAGTTTTTAAAGCCAAAGTTAACCTAATTATTTTGAACTATACCTTCCTTTACCAAAACAGTTTTGTTGAGTCGAATCAATGTTAAGTTTATCATGATAAAAAGAGGAAGTATGATAAAATGATATATGTATATTCAGTGAAGGTTTGTTTAAATCCACAGATGATATTACAAAGGCTAATGTTTACAATAGAAGAAATACGGACGAAATAAAAAAAGATCCCTTCTATCAGTCCAATAATGGTACGAAGTTCACGTCTTTAAATTGCTATTTATAAATCAGAGCAGGATGTACCTATAATTACACCGTGCTCTATGATACACATCAGCTGTTATATAATAAGATATACAATGATATAAGTCGTGCATTCATTAATATTATTAACCAGTTAAAATAGATCTGCTGGAATATAAACATTAAATCATAAGGTAAGACAGTTATTGTATTTCAAAATTTAAATTTGATATTGTATTTCAAAATTTAAATTTGAAATATAAATTATAAATAAAATATCAATCAATTTTATTTTACATTAAAAAACAAACGTTATCTTGCGCTTTACGAAGTAAACAATTCTGGTTTATTGGAAAGTATCAATAAGTTTATACGTAATATTGTACTACTATATTTTTTAGATATCATTTGAAGGCCAAGCTTTCAAATTTAGCCCTAAATTTTGAAAGACAGTGCAATCATTGACATAGTGCATGTAGTGTTAAGCTTACTGAATATAGTTTCATACATGTAATAAGACTTGCTGAACTATATCTAGTAAATAAACATTAAGTGTTATAGGCAGTGTTTGTTTATCATTATAAACATTTAACAAACTAAATTCGAAAAAGAAATTTGACACTACAGACGCAAACTTTATCAACTGTAAAGTTACATTGAAACAACACAAGTGTGACGCAAACCTTTTTTTCTTCTTTTTTCCCCTATTAAATCTACGACACATTGTGTACTGTTATTCAGACAAACGACTTTCTTTTTTATGATTTCTTCGGGAAATCCTTCTATTTTGTGTTGACTAGGAAGTCTATTTGTTATAAGGTGCTTTATATTCAATCTCGCTAAAGTTCAGATCTACTTATTTCTTCTATGTAGATCTGATGTCGACCGTACATGTTTCGCCTTCTCTATAATTCGGATTTTCCGAGAAGCTATTTTTGGCCATGCAATCAAACCGGTTTTTACAGATAGACATTAGAAGAAGTATATATTAAAATACCAGTATCCGTTGAAGTTAAACAAATTGTTGATTTTTGTAAGAAAAAAAATGTTTGCAGTATAACAATGTATTGGCTATGAACATGTAAATATTGAATTGAATTTGAATTGAAAATTGTAATCAATATTAATAAATGCGCTGAATAAGAATTCATGTCTTTTTAGAAAAAGAAACACAAAGGTATGTATGTAAGATATTTACAGCACTCAAAATTAGTCTTCATAGTATCTACAGACCAGAGTGGCCTTTTAAAAACATCGATCCCTACGCTCTCTCGCCGTGTCTGTAAATACTATGCATAACTTTTTTACGTACTTTAACAATTACTTATGCGTATATTAAATATATATATTGAGGTTATTATTCAGTGTTGAGTACAATACTGAATTATAACGGATAATCATGCAATAATTTAATCTGAAAATGTAATAATTTATGTTCATATGAACGACTTACAAGATATTTCATACCTCTCGTGACTATATTCAATAATTATATTAATTAAACTAGTACGTAATTTTCACGAATATATTTTGTGCATTGATCTTAAGCTTTTTTTTTCTTTTCAAACTTTTTTTTTCGAGAAAAGAAAAGAAAAACATTTGGCCTAACAAACGATGTAATGGTAATATAAGTGCAAATTAAAAGATAAAAGCATATTTGTTGTTCCTAATACTAGTAAGTACATTTTAAGTTAAATAATGTATAAATAAAATGGTTATGAAATTATATTTTTGGGACACTTGTCTTAAAGAAGATGCAAACACTATCATTTTAAGCAAATAAAATATCATATAAAAAGTTAAGTATTTATTAAACCTTTCATTTTTAATGATATACTAATGACAGACAACCAAAAAGTTTGTAAACATTAATTTTGCCTATTTATTATCATGATGGTCGTCCCAAGCCAGCAATTGATTTTATATTTAATATATTTATCATTATTTATTAAATTAAATTGATGAATAATTATACTAATACTTAGTTGAAAGTGTCTCCATTTGTTGAGGTTTCTAATTGCATATGACGATCGTTGATTTCTAGGTTCAAAATATCAATGGCCCATCAAGCCCTTAGGCTATATAGTTTATGGCCTAAGTTTATAGCGACCAAAAAGTTACTTATTGGTCCAATTACCTAAACCTTCATTTTCTTCAGTTGCTTCTTGGCAGTTTGTATAGACTGTATAGTTATTATGATTCAGTATTTAGTATGGAAGAAAAAAAACTGCTTTGTTTACATTTTGCTACTCTTATGAAAAATAATTTTACGTTTAGCACTACATTCTCAAGGAAACAAGCATCTAACATGGTCTAAAACCATTTCAACGTTTTAAAACTTATGTTTGCTTTTTCATTTGTTTCTGATGAATAATGTGTCTTTAAATTTTAGCTTGAAGTTTGATTCAATTTGTTCTTGATGAATCTCCCAAACGACATTTGGTCTGTATTTTTGGCATTGATTTACGTATTCATTAATTTACTGCTAATGCTCTTAGATATATAATTATGATAAAATAAGAAGATGTGAAAAATATTGTAAAACATTTCGTGTTATCGTCACATACAAGATGCCCATGATGGAATTACAAGCATAGTATAAATGGCGAACAAAAACAAACATAGCTGCTCCTAAAACATCAATATTCGAAGAAGTTCGAACAGAAATATTGCTAACAAATATAGTTTTTTAATATACATAAACACATATATACATACATTCACGCCTTACGGATGCAATACGCAGATCTTATTGATATCTTCATACATATTTGATAATTTAAATCCGTCTCAGTAATTCTGTCGGTAAAGACGCCCATATTGAGCTATTGGTAATTCAAGACCAATTTTTATGGATGCATGGTAAATATTTCGTTTTATTACATCTATTAAAATAATGATACTTCTCATTTAATAATAATGTAATCTTAAAAATAATCGATAGTAGCAAAAACAACAACAACAACAATAACAACAAAAACAAATCCATAATAGTCTGTATGCACATAATTGTATCTATGCATAAGTCCTTCCGTACAAAACATTACACTGAAATACATAAATTCCAAGTTTCCTTACAATTTTCACAGTCATTTTCTATTGTTAACAATTCAACAAATTTAACCATGTTTGAATGTTTCGAATATCTTTTAGGTATACATATTTCCCTTAAATCAGTGCACAAGGAACAACATCCAAAAATAAAATAATATTCGTCTTCTAACATATTACATATACGAGCACATTTTCTTTAATCGACCGGTGTTCTGTATGTCCATCTACCAACCTCTCTATTTGCAATATGTAAGAAGACATTTTTAATCTATCGATGAAAAATTATTAACTGTCATGTGATCTATATGTCCTTGAAACTAGAAAACTGCTATATTTCTCTAATTTTTCAAAATGAAAAGGTTAATAAAAATTATAAGTCATCATCTTTCATAATGATATGTGGACAAAAAATACCCATACCCATACATCATTGTTTTCTACATTTACACTAGTTATTGCCCGAAGAAAATGTTTACCTATTATATTTAGTGTATTTCTTAGATCTATGAAAAGTATTTGATCTTGTCCACCATGAATTTTAATTGCATAAGTTAAAACTTTATCATTTTTCAGATAAAAGTGTCCATCTTTTCAAATCTTATCTGACAAAAATAACGCAAGTTGTTAAGATTGGACGTACCATGTCCAATAGCAGGCTTGTAACTTCTGAATCCCTCAGTGATCTATTCTGGGCCCCATGTTATTCTTATTATACATAAATGATATTGCTCTAGCTACTACAAATGGTAATATAGATCTTTATGCTGACGATTCTACCATATATGTGTCTGATCATGATTTGAATGTAACAGAAAGTAAACTTTAACAAAATTTGGATGCCATAGATAAATGGTGCAATTTAAACAATAATTATGTTAATCCAACCAAATAAAACAAAATGCATGATATTATGTACGAAACAAAAAGTAATTATTGTAATGAACTTACTATATTTATTGCATATGTATTGCAAACTAAAAACTGCCTCCGTGGTCGAGGGGTTAGAGTCGATGACTTCTAATCCAGTTACCTCTCTGGCGTGGGTTCGATCCCCGGGAGGTGCTTTGGTAGTTTAGCGCGGAGGAAGATAGTCTAGTACTGGTGTAACTCTCCAGAAACTACCTGCCTATATGACTGAGATACTGTTGGGAAAAGGCGTACAATGAAACAAACAAACAAACAAAAGCAAAACAAAAATAGAAAATGTAAAAAATTAATTCAAAAATTATTAGGTGTTTATATTGATAATAACTTGTCACGGAATTACCAAATAGAAGCACTTAGTTCAAAAATTAACTCAAAAATAGCATTATTGAGGTGTATATCTTACTTTTTGACAGATGAAATTAAACAGTTATTTTGTAATGCATATATAATGTCGAATTTACATAATTGCTGTACTGTGTGAAGCAAAGGAAATTTAAGGTATTTGAATAAAATAGGTAAAATACAAATAAGAGCTGCAAGGATTAGTTTAAACAAAACATCACAAATCAAGATATACTGAAAGAACTTTGGTGGTCACGTAATGACATAATTATA